AATAAAATTAAAAAATAAAATTTTGTAAAACAAAAACACCTTTTCTGTCTGAGTAAAATCTGAATAGCACCTTATCCTACTTCTTATTATATATTGGGAACCATTTACCAATAAAGTCTCTGAAAAGTCTGTAATCCAGTAATCTCTGTCATATTTTAAATATCTCTAGGGTCCCCAGAGGACCACAATTACTGAAGAGAGAAGTCTTTATAATTAAACAAGCACAGTGTGTAGCAAAATGTATAGTTCTATTATAAAATCTTACTACTTCCAATTAATTTAGGAAACAGTAATATGAATTCATGAAACTCAATTATTCTTACAGAAGTAAAGGCTTTCTGGCATTTACTAAGAAAAAAAAAGGAAAAGTCTTCCAGGATCAACTTTAATGAACAAATTTGACTTATTTGCAATTGGCATATTGTTTTAAATATTTCAAGCTTCTGAATTGCCTGAAATAAATATGCATTTCACAGAGCTTAATCAAGCCATCTGCAGTTTCGTTTGCTTTAATAAGGATCCCACTCCTAGGACCATTACTCACAGAAGTAGAAAAGTAAACTGATCTCTAGGAGTTCATAAATCTTGAATTGGTGGGATTTGAATTCCACTAATTGTACTTGAGAATTGAATAGGCTTGAGTTGCAAAGACCTAAGCTCTGATATTATTCTGATAGTAAAATCTTAGTTGAGAAAGGGTCTGTGAGTTTGGGGACCCTCAGAAAATGGGTAAGATTATACTTTTCAGTCAGTTGACCACCTGCTGGGGTGTGTGCATTTTAGGGTCACCGTTTTCTCTCTTTTTTTTTTTTTTTAAAGTCAGATTCTCACTCTGTTGTCCTGGCTGGAGTGCAGTGACACACTCGCGGCCACCACAGCCTCAACCTGCTGGGTGCAGGTGATCCTTTCGCCTCAGCCTTCCAAGTAGCTGGAACCACAGGCATGTGCCACCACGCCCGACTAATGTTTTAATCTTTTTCTCTTTTTTTTTAGTTGGGGTCTCACTCTGTTGCCCAGGCTAGAGTGTAGTGGCCCACTCACAGCCACCACAGCCTCAACCTGCTGGGCTTAGGGGATCGTTCTACCTCAGCCTTCCAAGTAGCGGAACTACAGGCGTGCACTACCATACCTGGGTGATTTTTTTATTCATTGTAGGGATGAGGTCTCACCAAGTTGCCCAGGCTGGTCTCGAACCCCTGGACTCAGGCAATCCTCTTGCCTCCGTCTCCCAAAGTGCTGGGATTACAGGCCTGAGCCACTGCGCCCAGCCTATTTTTTGATTTTTTTATTGTAGAGACGAGGTCTCGCCATGTTGCTCAGACTGGTCTTGAACCCCTGAGCTCAGGCAGTCCTCTCGCCTCTGCCTCCCAAAGTGCTGGGATTACAGGCTTGAGCCACCGCGCCCGGCCCCACCATTTTCTCTGTGCTGCCTCAGCAGCATACCCAATTTGGTTTTATACAGATGAATTTCAAGGAAAACATGACCTAGACCTTATTTCAAATTACCCTGAAGATCAATACATCTCCCCAATGCCCAAAAATGCCATGTTCATAATCTGCTGTTATGATATACAACTGGGAGAAAGTAAATGTCCTGTCAACCACAATCTCTTTATTATTTTTAAAGAGGGCTAGTTTCCATTATCAGAAGCAGATAAGGAATGCCAGCACCCATTTGTCATTCAAAACAGAACATTTACTTAGCTGGGAATGAGTGGGTTTGTTTTTTAATAGTGGTAATAAAGTCACAATTCAAGGTCAGGAAAAATTCAAATACAGTTCCAACGGGTTGCTAATATTTTAGATAGAGTGGGGAGACAACTTACTAACATTAATTTTGGTTTTCTAATACTTCTTTTTTCCTAAAAGAGATGAGAAGCAGAAACCTAATATTTTTTTCTTGCCTTCTCAAATGGTAAATCCTTTTTACATCACCAACCTCAAGATTTTAGTCTCAATTTGAGATAATCTTTTCTTACCCCAGTTTTTATGCAATTAATCTTATCTCACAACATGCATGAAATTCTGTGACATGTGAAAAACAGGTGATTTCGTGAGTCAGTGAGCTTGGGCAGCAAGTTAGCACCAGCAATACATTCACGCTTTGTTCTATTCTCAGGTCTCTATATAGGAATCACTACAAGTGCCACTTGCCATGTAGGGTTTCCAGACCAATAGAAGGAAAGACTTTTCCTGCTTCAATGTCTCTAGGCACCTCAGAATCAAAATACAACCCAATTTTTTTTTTAAGTTGGAGTCTCACTCTGTTGCCCAGACTGCAGTGTAGTGGCACGCTCCCAGCCACCGCAGCCTCAATCTGCTGGGCTCCAGTGATCCTTCTGCCTCAGCCTTCCAAGTAGCCAGAACTATAGGTGCGCACTACCATGCCCAGCTAATTCTTTATTTATTATAGAGACGAGGGCTTGCCAAGTTGCCCGGGTGGGTCTCGAACTCGCGGGCTCAGGCAGTCCATTTGCCTTGGCCTCCCAAAGTACTGGGATTACAGGCTGAGCCATCGAGCCCGGCCAGTATGACCCAAATTAAGCTTATCTTACCCCTTTACCAAAGCTGCTTTTCTTTTTTTTTTTTTTTTTCTTTTTTTTTGAGTATGAGTCACACTCTGTCGCCAAGACTGGAGTGCAGTGGCACGCTCCCGGCCACCACAGCCTCCACCTGCTGGGCTCCGGTAATCCTTCTGCCTCAGCCTTCCAAGTAGCTGGAACTACAGGCGCGCGCTACCACGCCCTGGCTAATTTTTGATTTTTATTGTAAAAATGAGGTCTCGCCAAGTTGCCCAAGTGGGTCTCAAAACCGCGGGCTCAGGCAATCCACTCACCTCGTCCTCCCAAAGTGCTGGGATTACAGGCTGAGCCACCAAGCCCGGCCCAAAGCTGCTTTTCAACCAGCCTTTTCCATCTCTAAATGATACCGTATCTACTTCTTAGGTTGAACCATAACAAATTGCCTTTTTTTGGGGGGGGTCATGAGTGGTTAAATATTGACAATTTCAAATGGATCAAACTTAATAATTGTTCAGGTCAAAAACCTGGTGAAATCCTTTTCACTTCACTTCCCTTAATCCCTTACAACAAGTCAATCATGAGGGCTGGCAAATTCTATTTCTCAGGCAGATCCTGAATCCATCTATTTCTAAGGTGACCATCATAGCCCAAGCCTCCAAGAACTGGGCTCACCAATTCCGCTTTCCACACTGCAACAAACCAGTGTGTCCTCTTTAAACTCAAGTCAGATCATCTCACTTCCATGCCAGAAAGCATCCAATGGATTCCCACTGCTCTTAAAAGAAAAAACAGACACGCAAACAGGACTTACAGAGCCTGCAAACTCTAGCCTTGGCTAATTTCTTCAACCCCACCTCATTTTTTTTGTTTGTTTTTAAGTTGGAGTCTCACTCTGTTGCCCAAGGCTAGAGTGCAGTGGCACAGTCACAGCTACCACAGTCTGGACCTGCTGGGCTCGGGGGATCCTTCCACATCAGCCTTCCAAGTAAATGGGATCGCAGGCACGTGTTACCATGCCCAGCTAAGTTTGGATTTATTGTAGAAATGAAGTTTTGCCATGTTGCCCAGGCTGGGCTCAAACTTCTGGACTCAGTCACTCCTCTCCCCTCCACCTCCCAAAGTGCTGGGATTACAGGCATGAGCCACCGCGCCTGGCTCCCATCTCACTTTCTATGTTCTGGTTATTGTGATCTTCTTTTATTTTTTTAAACATGGCCCTTCCCACTTCAGGGGCTTTGTACATACTGATCCATCTGCCTGGAACCCTTCTCTCTCCCTACCCACTAGGCCCTTGCACTCAGTAACCTGTACTTCTCCTTTATTCATGTCTCAGCATAAATGCCACAGCCTCAAGAGAACCTTCCGTGATCTCTCCCAGACCAGATGGAACCTCATGTGGCATACACTCATGAGACTATCCTCCATCTCAGTTCTGATCAGACTTCTCATTACTTGTTCAATGCCCTGCTACACTCAAACTTTGGGGAAGCAGAACCGCGGCCCTTTTTTTTTTTTTTTGAGTCGGAGTCTCACTCTGTCGCCCAGACTGGAGTGCAGTGGCCACTCCCAGCCACCGCAGCCTCGCCTGCTGGGCTCCGGCAATCCTTCCGCTTCAGCCTTCCGAGTAGCCGGAATTACAGGCATGCGCTACCACGCCCGGCTGATTTTTTGATTTATTGTAGAGATGAGGTCTCGCTGCCCAGGCAGTCTCGAACCTGCGGGCTCAGCATCCACTCACCTCAGCCTCCCAAAGGCAAGGGATTACAGGCTGAGCCACCGAGCCCAGCTCACCGTGGCCCTCTTACTCGCCCCCACATCGCCATCACCGAGCCAGGGCCTAGTACCCAATGGGCACTCGGCACATGCTTATAGAAGGCATGAATCCCTCACAAATATGAAGGCAGCAATTCACCATTCAAAGTTGCCATCCCCCACATGATGATATTCTTAGTTGTGATATATCTTCAGCAATTTCTATTTAGGATTTTTAAAAAGGAAACAAACAAAAAAAGGAATTTAAAAATTCAAAACTGAAAGGCTAAGCCAAAACACTATCCTTTCTGAATTATACCCTAGCTGGCCACAACTAGGAGTTGATATAAAAGAAATAACAATAACTAAAGTAACATTTATTGAGGGCGAATTATGTGCCAAGCCTATGGGGGAAACTGAGGCTTAGTGAGGTTGAGAGATTTATTGAGGTTCATTCAGCCAATGGTGGAGCCATAGTCACTAAGACCCATAATCACAGCCAGGATTCGGATGCTCTTAGACACTCAGTCTTTGGGGAAGACAAACTTTAGAACACAGGGACCCCTCTCTCTACATACTGCAGACTAAGAGCATCAACCACAGAATCCAAGAGAGACATATTTTTGGCTGTAGGTTAAATGTCTCTAAATACATCCCGGCTAATTTTACCATGTTTCTAAGAGCAATCTCTCCCAAACTCATCTTATTAAAAACAAGTGTTCCTACCGGAAGAAAGAGTCTCTGGGCAGCACAGGGTTTGAACAATTTCTTCCATTCCTGAGGGTTTCCAACAGAAAATGTGATGGGGTAGATTCTGTGTTCAAACTTCTTTGAATATGAGTCAGGCCACTGTCGCAACTGAAAAACATGGAAGGCAGGGAAGGGTGATTAGACCCCAAGAAATAGGGAAAACACCTGGAAAGCTTCTGGAGGGTCAAATGGAAATTACTCAGGCAACGCACACAGAAAGTCTAACTTCATCATCACCCTTAACGTTCACTAAATGAAAGAGTATTTCTCCTATTACAGTTTCTAGGGTTTAAAAAAATAACATTCACAGTTGGCCAGGATGTTGGGAAACTGGCACAGACACACTGCTGAGAGGAGTATGGATTAGAACAAACTTTCAGAGGGCAGTTTGGAAACTGGTAACCACAAATCCCAAAAGATAGAGGTGCGAGGATGTTCACTACAACCTAGTTTGAATAACAAGACTTGGGAACAATCTAAATGCCCAGTTATAAGGAATTGGGAAAATTATGTTTGAAATACACAATGGAACAATGTGTACTGAAATAAAGTACATCTATATGTACTAAGATGGCAAAGTGGTTATAACATACATAGTAAGGTTTTAGAAAAAGCAAAATGCAAATTCATACTATGGTTCTATTTTATAGTTAAACTATAAGCACATTACATTTTATATGTAGAAAAAAAATCTATTCAGATACTTTCCAAGTTATTAAAAGTAGTCACCTCTAAAGTTGATTGTTTCATTTTTTCTGTTTATGTTTCCATATTCCTTAGTACTTTCACAGTGAGTATATATTACTCTCTTTGCAGATATCAACTTTACAACAAATTTTGTAAATACGCTAATTTTTTTTTTTGGTCAGTCTCGTTCCGTCACCCAGGCTGGAGCACAGTAGCATGATCACAGGCACCACAGCCTCGACCTGCTAGACTGAGGCAGAGGGAATGCCTCAGCCTTCCAAACAGCTGAAGCTACAGGCGTGTGCCACCATGTTCAGCTAATTTTTTAATTTACTGTAGAGACAAGGTCTCAGCAAGTTGCCCAGGCTGGTCTCCAACCCCTGGGCTCAGGCAACCCTCTTGCCTCCGCCTCCCAAAGTGCTGGGATTACAGGTGGGAGCCGCTATGCCTGAAAATACACTGTATATTTTAGAGCAGGTTTACATTTATAGAAAAATCTAGCAGAAAGTAGAGAGAGTTCCCATATAGCCTCTTTCCTCCCCTGGCCCACAGTTTCCCCTATTATCAACCTCTTGCATTAGTGTGGGATGTTTGTAACAATTGACAAGCCAATATCAATACAATATTATTAAATAAAGTGCATCATTTACATTAGGGTTCACCCTTTGTGTTGTACAATTTTATGGGTGTTGACAAATGCGTAATGTCATGTATCTGCCATTAGAGTATCATAGAGAATAATTTTACTGCCCTACAAATCTTCTCTGTTCCACCTATTCAACCTTCCCTCCATCTCCCCAAACTCCTAGACACCACTGATCTTTTTATAGACTCTTAGTTTTACCTTTTCCAGAATGTCACATAGTTGGAATCATAGATAGCTTTTCTAGACTAGCTTATTTTATTTAGCAATCTGTGTTTAATGTTCCTACGTGTCTTTTTGTATCATGATAGTGTATTTATTTTTATTGTTTATTTAAAACAAATTTCTGTTGTTTATAAATATTTGTTATCACTTAATAATACTGTATTTCCATTGTCTGGAAATACCACAGTTTGTTTATTCATTCACCTACTGAAGGACATCTTGGTTTCTTCCAGTTTGGGAGAAACTGTGAATAAAGCTGCCATAAACATCTGTGTACAAGTTATTGTGTAGACATAAGATTTCAATCCATTCGGGTAAATCCATCAGAGGGCAACTGCTAGATCATATGGTAAGCCTACATTCAGCTTTCTAAGAAACTGCCCATCTTCCCAAGTGGCTGTAGCATTTTGCATTCTCACTGACAATGAATGAGAGTTCCTGTTGCTCCATCCCCATTTGGTGTTCTCAGTGTTCCGGAGTTTAGCCATTCTCATAGGTGCATAGTGGTATCTCACTGTTGTCTTAAGATGCAATTCCCTAATGACATAGGATGTTGAACACCTTTTCAGATGCTTGTTTGCCATCTGTATATCTTCTTAAGTTTTTCAGTTAACGTCTTCCCACCGCTGCAATAATTCTACTTCTGAGAATTTATCCTAAGAAAAAATTCCAAAAGTGCACACTCATTTATTACAAGGTTGTTTATTATACTATTGTCTATAACAGAGAAAAAATTTGGAAACAATATAAAAAAGAGATTGGTAAAATAAGCTCTAGCTTCCATCTACATAATAGAATATAACGCAGTTATTAGTGACAGTGCTATAGAACTGGGGACAGCAAACTATGGTGGTACAAGAGCCAAACTACCTGCCATAGATGGCACAGCCAAGAATGGTCTGACATTTGCAAATAGTTGAAAAAAATCAAAAGAATAGTATTTCACAACAGGTAAAATTATATGAAACTCTGGTCGGGCTTGGTGGCTCTGCCTGTTATCCAAGCACTTTGGGAGGCCGAGGCAAGTGGACTGCCTGAGCCTGTGGGTTCAAGACCAGCCTGGGCAACTTGGTAAGACCTCGTCTCTACAATAAATAAAAAATTAGCCAGATGTGGTAGCACGTGCCTGCAGTTCTGGTTACTTGGAAGGCTGAGGTGGAAAGATCATCGGAGCCCAGCAGATAGATGCTGGGGTAGCCATGAGCGTGCCACTGCACTCCACCCTAGGTGACAGAGTGAGACTCCAACTCAAAAAAGAAAAAAAAAAAAAATATATATATATATATATATATATATGAAACTCAAATTTCAGTGTCCATAAATAAAGTTTTATTGGAACACAGCCATGCCTATTTGTTTATGGCTGCTTTTTCACTAAATAGCACAGTTGAGTAGTTGGGACAGAATCCATATGGTCTGCAAAGGCTAAAATATTATTATCCGGTGTTTTCCAGGAAAAAAATTGGCCAAATCCATTTTATTCAGTAATATAAGTGTCATGGTATAAAAGAGAATATGAGATATCATCCTATTTTGACTTTAATATGAAAAAGAAATGAAAATAAATACCGTATACCAAAATTGTTCTCCCTACACCTTGGTATGAGGATTGACTTTTTTCATTTATTAATGTATTGGTTTTTATAAAATAATATGCATATATTGCTTATATAACCACATAAACATTTTTTCCTCAGTTTTCTTTTTCCAAGAGACAGGGTCTTACTGCGTTGCCCAGCTGATCTCAGAACTCCTGAGCTTAAATGATCCTCCTGCCAGCCTCCCAAGCAGCCGGGACTACAGTAGCTTACCACCATGCCTGGCTCACATAAATGTTTTTTAAAAACACATCATTGGGAGTGCTTTTAAATCTCTGAGTGAGAAGGAGAGGAGCGATAAAGTATCTGATATTTGATTTATGAAGGGCACGGATCAATAAATACCCAGTACAACTGTACTGACCCATTAGAACTGACACTGGGAATAAATGCTCAGCACAACAATATTGACTAGTTGGAATGGAAGAATGTACACTAGCACAAATCCTGGACACAAACACCCAGTGCCATTGTGCCACTGCACAACATCACAAAATCACCCTGGAAGGAGAACAGTAAGTTTCATGGTTTACTTGACTCTTTGATAGTTAGCATTCTGTCATCCAGAAAGGTTTAACCACCTTTGCCAATCTATGTCATTTAACGGGAGTGTCCAGTTCATTTACATCTGTCACTATGCATACATTTGAATCTCTCTTTTTTTTGAGTCAGAAGCTCACTCTGTTGTCCAGGCTGGAGTGCAGTGGCACACTCATGGCAACTGCAGTCTTGATTTGCAGGGCTCAAGTGAACCCTCCACCTCAGCCTTCCAAGTAGCTGGAACTACAGGTGTCTGCCACCATGACTGGCTAATTTTTTGATTTACTGTAGAGACAAAGTCTCACCAAGTTGCCCAAGCTAGTCTCAAACCCCTAGGCTCAGGCAATCCTCTTGCCTCTGCTTCCCAAAGTGCAGGATTACAAGCATGAGCCACTGTGCCCAGGCAAAATAAATAAATTTAATTGAGAGGCCATCAGGCTGACGCAGCCCAGTGCCCTAGGTTCCTATGTAAATAAACTGAAACCCAACTCAGTGTTAAGTGGTCCTATTCTAGGTATATCAGAAATTGCCAAGTAACCCTAACTAGGGACTTTCTACTACTTAAGTTTAACCAATCAAAAATCACTATCCTCTTACCAGGGACTTTCTGCTGGAACGACCCAAACAAGGCTATTACTCCATGTTTATCAGTCAAGATTTTCTTTGCCTGGCTTCCATGTTCACCTTATAAAAGCCTTCCTCTTGTGCTCCTTCATTGGTGCCCCCAAACTGCTTGTGGTCTGGAGCTGTCTGACTCACGAATTGCTGAATGCTCAAATAAACTCTAATTTTTTTTTTTTTTTTGAGTTGGAGTCTCACTCTGTCACCCAGACTGGAGTGCAGTGGCCGCTCCTGGCCACCGCAGCCTCGACCTGCTGGGCTCCGGTGATCCTCCTCAGCCTTCCGAGTAGCCGGAATTACAGGCATGTGCTACCACGCCCGGCTGATTTTTTGATTTATTGTAGAGATGAGGTCGCACTGCCCAGGCGGGTCTCGAACCCGCGGGCTCAGGCAATCCACTCACCTCAGCCTCCCAAAGGCGCGGGATTACAGGCTGAGCCACCGAGCCCGGCTCAACTCTAATACTTTAACTTGCCTTATTTTATCTTTTAACACTTCTGTGAAAGTAATCTTTTATCTCTGGCTGCTTTCAAGATTTTCTTTTTGTCTTCAGTGTTCTGTTTTTCCTCTATGATGAGTCTAGTGGCAGATTTCTTTCTATTTATGCTACTTAAAATTCACCAGGCTTCCTGAATCTGTGGACTGGTATCTTCTACCATCTCTGGATCACTGTCAGCGATTATGTCTCTAAATATCTCCATCCTTCTAGACTCCTTCTTCCATCCTTTCAGAACTCTTATGAATATACCATCCTTCTCATTCTATCATTCATATCTCTTAATCTCCATTTCTTT